CACATCATTAAGAACATCATTAAGAACCCCAACCAGCCGGAGGCAAACCAGTTGGCTATTTACAAGCGTGGCCAAGGATCTGAACTTGGGGCTACCGTGAAACAGATCCATTGGTCAGGGTGGGACTCGAACCCGAGAGCGGCGGATTACAAATTAACAATGAGACTTGACACCTTTATGGATACACATGCATGCCCATGATAACCACAATAAGGCACATGTGGTAAATGATAGAATCTATCAAATACATGCTTTCCTAAAAAAATAACATAAGTTACTCCTACTAAACACTCACCGATGCCAACTTCTAAAAGCATTACTGCTCTTTTTAAATAGGTAACCTTCCATTACTAAACCACTGCAAACATAGAGGGGGTAAAAGTTAACATACAAGCACATGAAAATCAAGGCAACCTTTGAAGAACAAGAGTCACACCTCAAAATATATTCTTTGGAGAAGCTAATTAGACTCTAAGACTTTACATTCTGATTGTTATGTTTTCAAGGAGATTCTAACCAGTCACACCAACAATATACCTTGGGTCATTTAGGTTTCTTCTGCCTATGCATCCACACTCCTCCTAAAATCATAATCCAAGATAAACCCTGAGTAAAAAACCACAAATCTCATAATCTTTTATTAAAAAAATTGCACATTGTTTTACACAATCAACCATGAAAATCAAATCAAATTAGTTTCTAGGCCTGTCAAGTCTTACAACCCTGCCCCTAGTTTTGCAATTTTTTTCCTTTCTCACAGCCTTGTAACGAGACTCCCTCTGAATGAATCATACTATGTATGAATTAATAGTAAATGATAAAATAATGTAAGGAAACATTAACCACCTATACATTTCTTACCAGACTGTAGAATTTTTGCTTGCATTTACTTTTATTATCATTTTTTTTAAAAAAATTCCAAAGCCCATGCTAAGAGGTTTCATACAACCGTGAGAACAGAGGCAAAATGTTTAACATCTTTAATCATTGTTAAAACAGCATATTACACCCACCATTTTCTGGACCAAGGTATGTCTTTCCTCCATCTCCTTTTTGTCAACTGTATACTGGACTGATACCTCTTCCAACTAGATTAAAAAATTTGATACACAGTTGTTAAGAATCACTATCAGCAGACAACTTCCAAAGTGATTAAAACCTTTCTTCTAATATTTAGTACTTTCACTCCCAGGAGTGATCAAAGAGGAACTTCTCCTTACAATATAAGTGCAACTCTTGGCATAAAGTTAATGAGAAGATGTAACAGAGGTTACTTCTCAATTTACTATCTGATTCTCAGAGCTTAAATTATAAAAAATGTTGGCAAATGGCATGGAGAATATATCTTAGGACCCTTAGAATGGAAGGGGTTTAATTTGCAAGCTTCTGAAATGTGTCACAGATGAAAATGAATAAAACAAACTGTTCCATCAAGGAACAAAAACTCCTTTAAAAAGCCAGACAGAATAGGACTAAAAGAAGACCAAACTTGTGAAAGTTGCACCAATCAAATTAGGAAAGCCAACATCTTGTTACTAATTAGAAACAACAGCAGTTAATCAGATTTTTCCTACCTGGTTTGACACCCTCTTCATGTAAGCATCTAAATCATTCATCAAATCATAGCCTTGGTGAAAATAAGTTGACTGGGCATGCATAAACTTCAGAATCTACAACAGGAACAGAAATGGAAAAGTTCACTACTAACAGTTTCTACGACCAGTCAATCCTACTCATTCATTCTGTGCTGAAACTTCTTTTTGAATTTCCAGAGAGAAAATCTGCTTAAGACCCTACAAGAAAAGACTGACTATTTGCAATTAAGAGGTATTTAACAAAACTGCTATATTCTGCAAGATTTCTTGCCCTAAGAAAACCAGTAACTGCACACGTGTAACACGATAATCATATTTCATGTATGTTTGATATCATCAATCATCTGCTGACAAGTTACTTGTCTATTGTGCCTTTTTCTGTCAGGCTACTGGGTGAATGGCAAAATATTCACCATTCTCGATTCAAGGTTTTCTGGCAAGTTTCCTCTTTTCTTGGCTCATTAAAGACCTATCATTATGGCTATTATACAGTAAACAAAACAATTATTTACGTATGACGGACGATCCTCGCAGTAGATAGCGCTATTTAGGCAATAGCGAAAAACAGACCTGAAAAAAATCAGGCCTGTACGGGATTCGAACCACTGACCTCTGCAATACTAGTGCAGCGCTCTACTAGTATCTAGCGCTGCACTAGTATCGCAGAGGTCAGTGGTTCGAATCCCATACAGGCCTGATTTTTTTTTTTCAGGTCTGTTTTTCGCTATTGCCTAAATAGCGCTATCTACTGCGAGGATCGTCCATCATACGTATCTAATACCGCAGTTCAAAAATATATGAACTTCATATATTCATTGTATCTCAAAACAATTATTACTTGTATATAACGAATTTCCCTTCAAGTGTTCAATTTGACCACTTGAAGAAAAATTCCTTATCTATGTGCACCATGTATTATTCTCTATTTCTTACAGTGTCTAGAACATCAATCCTTCTTCGTGACTGCAAAATGTTGATCTGCAATAAAAAGCACGGTTGGAGAAAACTGACACTCGTTTTTGGAAATGGGATAAATCATATGCTTGCTTCTAGATGGTGCAGCAACTAGTGATATCGATATTGAATGAAAATAACAAGCTCAAAATCATCACTTCTACACCTTATTTATTACCTGGAAGGCATAGTCCAGTGCTGTGTGGTTAAAACATGATTGATTAGCTGTCACTGTATTCTTAACCTGAGTTGAGGAAATATGAAATAAATACATTAAATTACCTACTTACATGTTTGTAGCTTGCAGTGTGTTAGTGCTTACCAATCTTTATCAGTTTTGATGATTGAACAACCACATTGAGTGCAGGTGGCAGTGCAAAATTTTCTTTATTTAGTGACTGCACTAGAAGCTCTACACTGCAACTTACAATACTCTCACCTCCTCTGCCTCAGAGGCTTTACAGTGATGTGGAAGCTGTGCATTTCTTGTCAAGGCACTGAAAAAATCAGTAAATTTCATAAGCACACAATTCTGGTCTTCTGTTTTTGGGTAATAGACAACCTGCCATGGCAAGATGGTGGGAAGGGGGGTATGGGATAAGGGGTAGGGGGGGCACCTTCAATGAACAAGAATTCAGGGTCCAAGGGAGGGAGACCACAGTATTTTTTTCCCCTGTAATATGATGGAGCAGTCAGGGTTTTCCCAATTGAACCCGTAACCCGTAACACCTGTCACTGGTAAGTGTTACAGCTGTCAAAGCGCTTTGACTAGTAGATCAACGCCCATTAAATGCAAATAGGAGAACGCCTTTGTGCAGAGATAATTGAGTTTAGTATTGAATGTTAGTTGGTTTTAGTTTTCGAAGCGAATAGCCTGTCAGCAAACAATCACTATGCTTCATAACTTCTCTGCTATGTTGTAGTTTCTAGCACAGGCCTCCCCAATTGCAAGATTTCGTCTTCCCACATGCTAAGACACGACCTCTGTGATTTGAATTGGGACTCTACAGGCCTAAAGATACATAGCATTCAGCTACTTAGGTGTTACGCATGGAGGTGGCACAGCAACGGCTGTACAAAATTCTATTGAGAACCCTGAGCAGTACTCTAAGCCGTGACCATAAAGGGCCAATAAACTTTCAGCAAAAGTTACCAAATTGCTAATCTGTGCACAGATGCCACGTAGCAATCTTTATGACCTAGTGTCATGTACTAGTTCTTGGGTTGTTGCCACTTTCTCCTTCCTTGAGATGCCATGTGAACCCTAAAATGATTGCTGGCTACTGTTGCTAGCAGCACTGCTGACCTCTGTTTGATTTTCTGTCACGAAATTGCAAAAAGCTTTGAGCTTAGAGTACCAAGGAGCCTTATTAGGGAAGCCAGCGGGCAAATCAGAGCAAAGCTCACACGACTCTTTATCTACAGCATGATTTATGGAGGTAATATCTTTACAACAAAAAAAAAAAAAAATAGTACACACAGAGTTGACACTCACTTATCCAACTCATCACTGACTCTGTCAAACAGCTTTTTTGTCTCCTTAACTTTCTTGACTTCCCTGTAAGTTAAGCAAAAATATGCTTACTGTAATTTCTGGCCGTTTACCCGCATGGCCGATTACCCACACCGGCTGATTATTGCATGCAGCGAAAAAAAAAAAAGTCAACAGATTACCCGCACTGGTGGATAACCCGCACCTTAAAAACAAAGGAAATTTGTACAAATGTGCTTTACAATTCACAATGTTGCATGCTAAACAGAATGCGAATTCGTGGCCACATTTTGTGCGAACGATCGTTCAGCACCATGTTGATTTCTCCAAAAAATCGATATCTCTGGTTCTACAAGGCCTAACAAGTCCCTTAAAATGGGAAAATTCTCTTCAGCTGAAGCTAGTGTTAACTGAAAATTTGTTACTGATGTGCTGGTTACCCCCGGCTTATTTTTGTGACTATCAAGGTTCTGTTTACACGCGTGCCAATAGTAATTTGTTCGTTGTGCAACTAATTGTGCGTGAAATAAATTCGAGTTTATTTTCGTGCCGCTTTGTGGCACTCTTAACACAATAAAATTCATCTGAGAGGTGGAAACGCAGGTAGGTGAGATTTCTCTTAAATTCAACCGCCACTAGATTTCAAAATTGCATCATAACTGTTTTAATTCCTGCCTTTTAGCAGTTGACAGAGTCAATTACCACTTCCCAAACTGTGTATAATTAAAATGGTTTTGAGCGGGCTTATTTTACAGTAGGCAGCAAATACAAACAAGGATAGTCTTAACTGACACACTAAGTAAAACAAATGTAAAAAAATTGCTTGAAATTTGTCTTATTTACATTAACCTTTTACACACTGTACCCAACCTCCTCTCCACCCTCCCTCCCCTCTCCACCCTCCCTTCCCTCTCCCTCCC